AATAACTTTTATGTAGAGTTAGTAAGTCAAATAAGCTTTCTGAGACCAGTGCCCTAGGCCAAAGGGGAAACGGCAGGGTCGGAGTTGGAGAAGGTGGAGGTGGGAATCCCTCTTCCATTTGCAGCAACCTCTAAGGATAGCTCTTTTTTTCAAACTCATCCTGAGTATGCTAATTTCTGCTGCTTTTACAACGTTGGAAGCATTTCTTCGGCTACTACTTCAGTGTCTTTTTGCAATATTAGAGTTTATCTTATTTCAGAATGGTTTGATTGTGGAAGAATTAAAACAAGTCTCCCATCTTAATTATCCCATGTGTAGTGAGAACGAAAGATCAACTAGCTACTTTAAAAACACTTGCCATGTGTTGGAGCTTGGAATTTCAGATAAATTTGTTGTCAGTGCGTGAAAAGTAACGTATTTTCTGCCTCACCTGTGAACTTAGTCCCTTGGGGAGTTTTTGTTTGCTTTTTTTTTGATGGCATAGCTTTGGAGTACCTCTGTATACTTGAACTAAGGACATGCCTAACATGCTTTTTAAGAGACATGGTAACTTTGTTTGGGGGAGGAAGTGCTTACCAAATTCTAACTCTTTCTTTGTAATGTCCTAGTCCACACAGTCGCAGGATGAATTTAAACTTGAGGATCTGAAGAAGTTGGAACCAAGTAAGTAGTATATTTGTATTTTAAGTGAGTGACATTTATCATTGCAGTGGAAAATCTGACAGCATCATGAATACTGACTGACCACGGTGTGGTTGGGCAGTAATGCTGTTTGTAGGTGGCTCTTCCAAATATCTGCTACTAAGTGGACAAAACTTGACATACATTAAAGAATGTAATGTGAATATTTTTGAAGTAGTCTTAATGTCTCAAATAATGTATTATTTTTTTCTCTAACTTCATTATTTCTTTGAATATTATTTTTACAGGGAATAATAAGTTATCAGTACTGCAGTGTTAAATCAGATGTAATCTATGAAATTTGGTCCTTTACCTCCATATTACTTATTTGAACAGAATTTCAATACTTTGTGCTCTTCCTACTTGCAACATCAAATGTGTTCTTTTAAAAATATTTAATGTGCAGTCGTTGTAGCCAATCACCTGTCACCTACCACAGTAATGCTACTAGAGTAGTGAAGTTAGAGTCAAACTAAGGATGTGAGTCAGTCTGTTTTGGAATGTCAATCTCAAAATAACTTTTGAGTAGGAAATATATTTATCTGGTAAATTTTCTTTCTGGTAACACAGGTTATTTTATTTTCAGAGCATCCCTATAATCAGATCTTCCTCATCTAAACATTGTTATCCTGAGTGTTAACATTTCTCTTATCCTTAGCGAGTGGGAAATGTGTAAGAGCTTCTTCCATTCTGCAGAAGGGAGTTATGCCTTCTGTGAAATGCCTCCTTTTCTTAAAAGTCAAAGTTTTAATGTACACTGTGACAGTCCTGTTCCTTATCTTGCCCTTCCTCATGGAATTGATTTTTAGCTATTAAAAATGCTCAGCAGTGTGAACTATGCTTTAACCCACTCCTCATACAACAAGCAATGTATTAAAACTGAGCAACTGTGTGTGGCCATCAGTGTTTAAAACTCCTGAGTTATTTTCCATGGAGGAGAACGGGCAGAAAGGGAGCTTCGGCAGCAGCAGTTGGGTGCTGCAGTTGTTCGTGTTGCTCTCCGACTTGGGCTGCTCTGATAATGCAGAGGCCTGGTCCTCTGAACGGTACCTTTGTTTTGGGCTTTTTGAGAATATTTTGTTAAAAAATTAAATCTTATTCAGGCCAACACCATCCATTTCATAAAATATTACTAGGAGGTATTTTAATTTAGCATTTTGTCTAGCATTTAATTTAGCATTGTTCTTCTTACATCCTACCAAAATAGGCCAAAAACTCTGGACTGACAACGCAAATCAGTGATTCTTCTGTAAGGCCAAGGCAGCCTGTTAGGGTGGAATTAAAACAGCTATTCACATAAAATGCGTTGTTTTAATTACTGTTGTGTGCCAGACTTTCAAAATGGCTGAGAAATTTGAGTCTGTGGTATTATAACAACCAGGACGCTTAGATTTTTTTCTTTTTTTTTCCAGTGCTCTAAAGCCCTAATAGTTTTTGTACTTGTTAAGCTTGTGTTTTATGCTGCATGTGAAGTAAAGCAGTTGTCTACGTTTGTTTATTTTTAGGATTTGTTCACTAAATCTTTTGTGCTAGAATAATAGTATAGAAAGGTGCATACAAATAGCTATTTTGGGAATGCACTGTATGAGAACATTGCTAGTACACGCGATCTTGCAAATCCTTTCCTTGTGAAAGCTTATAGCGGTGCTACTACACATTAAAAAGAGAGGGGTTGTGATATCCCACATACCACTCTTGGCTTTCATGTACAAGCAGGCTGGAGTGGGTCAGGCTGTGATCTAGCTGGAAACCAATGTCTTTTTGCCAAGCCAGCCTGGTGTCCCCCGTGAGACCCACCCCAAACAGCAAGAGTGCAGTTTGGACCATGAAATCACAGCACGGATAGGACTGTCTCTCCTGCAGCCTCCACATAAAGAGTAATTTTATGATTGCCACGAACCATCTAAGTGTCTGTCGTCTTCAAAAGTGTGGTAATTCTAGCCGCTGAGTGACCGGTTCCAAAGCTGTTAGTCTGTGTGTGTGTGACTGTGTGTTGCAAGAGAAATGAGATCTGAATTGATTTGTGCATCATCTACTTGTTATTCAGGCATGTCCCATAGGCTATCATAAAAAAAAAAAAAGTTAAATGGACGGTAGTGTTTGCCAAATGAACACTTAGTGGTTTTATTGCTCATGCTGATGTTCCTGTTTGACACCTTTCAAGAAAGACACAGCTGCTGATTTAAAAACAAAAACAAAAAAAACACAAAAACAACAACCATAAAAAAGTGATATTGTCCAACAGGACAAAAGGAATGTCATTATTGGAAAGGCAGCTTCTGTGTGTGAGCCTGCTGAAAAGCCTTTGAGGAAAGCTGCTCCTGGGAAAGCCAGCATAAATAAAGGACACGTTTCCGGGGATCTGCCTTTTAATTCTGACCTTGGGGTTAGCAGTGTGGAGAGCTCGCTGAGGTTGGCTTTTCTCAGCTGCAGCGTTGTCTACTCCCTCCCAAGAGGAAAGGTGTGCGAAGGCAAAACAAAAGTAATGAAAAATAAAAAGTAGCTCATAAGCTTGGGTGTCTTATGCAATGTCTCAACAGAGAATCTTACACATTATAATCTAGTGTTTTTCTTCTGTCTGGTTATTTCATTTTAAATAATTCAAATTCTGATTTGCGATAGATGAAAGAAAATTTTCCCCCTAAAAGAGTGACCTTTGCAGTGTTTTTGCATTGGTTATCTTTATTCTGAGTGTCTTTGGCCAAGTATTTCATCAGACTGAAGGCTGCAAATATAGCACTTGTCCTGATCCCATCTGTTTAAAAGCAGCACATTTGATAAACCCCAGTAGTAAGTCTTGGCAAAAATTATTCTCTATTTGGTAATGTACACACAAAACTGAGTTGAGACAATAAGAAGCCCTCAGGCACTGGAACTGTTGGCTTTTTATGTGTTGCTCCTTTTGGTAGAATATTTTGTGCCCTCTAGTGATGGCTGGTGTGGGTTGCTGAGAGGCTCTTCCAGAGGTTGCCCATTCACCCAGCTGCAGCAGCAGTCGCTGCAAAGTGGGGAGATGCCGCCGCACGCTGCGGGCACAGGCACCAGGAGGCCCTCTCTACCTCACGCTGCTGCTCGATAATCTGTCTGTGCTCTGCAAGAGGTTTTCTGAGGCATTTGTTTTTCTCTTTGAGGCAGTTTCACTTTCCTCCTCCAGCATGGTGCAGCTCTCCCCAGCTAGGGGAATTCTAAGTGATAAAAATGCCCTTCTTTTTCTGAACCTCAACTGTGCTCTCAAGCCGTCCCTGCTGTTAATCAGCTGCTTCCCTTCTGGGAGGTGGCTGTGGTCCGTGCCCAGCATGTGGGGATCTCCGCTCACGACCTTGCAGGGTAGGAGCCTCCTGGAGAGGAGCAGGTTTGGCATTTTTCGATATGCCGCCTGTTACACCTCTGGCTGAATGCAGCTTACAGCTTTCTGTACATCTCTGGACTGTGCCCAGAGAGAATTAAGCAACTACCTGACCTCTCACATGGTGATACAGAAATAAAAAAAATAATGAATAAAGATGTGAGCAAAGACTGAAAAGCTCGCATTTATTTATAGGTATGCTGTGGGGTTCTCTCTTCGCTAGAGGGTTTGAATGGTGTCCTGTAACTTCCTGATGATGTCCCTGAATGATAAGAATATAAATACAGAGAGGTCTCCCTGTAGCCCATCTGAAGTCTGGCTGAATTTGTGCCGAGGTTGAAGTGTCTAGCAGTGATTGCACAAACGTAACAGGCTTTTTCATACTTACAAGTATTTGTATGACTTGAGCACTATATTAAAACATTTTTGTTATCAGCCAGAATGCAGAAGGGAGGATTTCCAAAACCTGCTATGAGAGGGCTTGTTGCAAAGTGAGACTCCGTGAGAGGACTTGGCCTTTTCCACTCCTCCTCCCTTCTGGTGATCTCAGGTACTCAGTACCTGCCAGGAAATTGCCTCCTCCCTAAGCTCTCTCTTACCCTTTTAGGTACTTTAACCTAAAATGATGACTAGAGAAATATTGCTGAAGAGAAAGGAGGAACATGACCCTCTTAGAAGTCATTAAAGCCTAAATATTGAATAGTTATTGAGCTGTTACATGTTCCCTGTGTCCCTGGACTTCTACAGCTGCTGTTGGATGTGCAGCCTATATGTGAGCTTACGTGTGTCCGCTTTGGAGCCTTCAGTCTGTTTGGAGCTGGTGCCAGTAACAGCACCACCCTCCTTGAAACAGCAACCAAGGATTGCTACCACAGCCCAGGGCTGTAACCTTTCCTCACGATGCTTTTAGCTACTGCCGTGTTTGTCCTCCCTGGCTGTGTAAATGTGGTAGTGATTACGTACGGGAACTGCACTTAGCCAGTCTCCATGCTATAGGGGTAGGGCTCTGAGCAGCACTGTGCTCGTGTTTGAAACCTGAGGAGAAAAATGTTTCCTTGGCATGATCTGATGCTTTTGTCAAGATGCCATGAGAATGGGCATGGCTGTGCGAAGTGGTGATAGGGGTCCTGATTTACAGATATGGATTCTTAGCAGCTTTTTCTTTTTTTCTTTTTCCTCTCTACAGTCTTAAAGAATATCCTCACTTATAATAAAGAGTTCCCCTTTGATGTTCAGCCTGTCCCACTCAGGTAAGAGAACGGATGGCATCCCTGGATATACAGAAAAGTGTCTGAAAGGGAGCCTGGCCTGGGAATTAGTGTACATCTGAAACATGAACATTTCTAGTCACACACATTATGAGTTCCTTTTGAAACAAACTTGTTAATTCTGTTTATCCTGATGCTACTAAAAATGAAAAGCTTGCTCTTTGTAGGCCCATAGGTGTCTCTGAAATCACAGCCTTTTTTTGCATACTCTCCACTCACTTGGTATGGGCTAAGCTCCTGCAACCTTGTCCAGGGTCCGTAGTTTCAGCAAGTAGCTAATCAGAAGCACGAGATGACATTAAAGTCGGCTGCTTCATCTCTTCCCTGACATGCTGACTTGGCCAGATGCTGACTCACAATCTCCAGTCTCACTTTATTCTTTTTCAAATATATTACAGGAAGATATTAGCACCTGGAGAAGAAGAACATTTGGAATTTGAGGAGGATGATGAGGAAGGAGGAGCTGGGGCGGGATCTCCAGACGCTATTCCTACTAGAGTTCCAGGTAGGGACATTAGTCTACGTAGAGATGTGTAAGTTGTGTCCCTGAGAAACAGTATATAGATAAATCATAACTGAAGTCAAGGCATTGGAAATGACTTGAGATAATGGCAAGATGGTGTGCAAAGGAGATGCAAAAGATGATGCGAGGTTCCAATTAGATCACTTAAATCCCAAATATTATACTTGGGAAGCAAGCACACATAGTAGGGACAGTGCCCGGCCAGACAAGATATAATTTCGAGGATTACGATTACTGGGTATAGGTAACCAGTGGCAACAGGAGGAGTGGCGATGCAAAGGGAATGCTGCAGGAAAACTGGGGCTCCACCAAGCTCCCTCCCATGACCACTTTTGCCTTTTGGCCCCCAGTGCCCCTCGTGTATTGAGGGTCTTTCTACAGCTTAAATTGTTCGCAGAGCGTTTTTATAGGTTATGTTCGGGAGAGGAAGCGAGGAGGCCTTGGTAGAGTGGCATTGGAACTGGCCTGGCAAAGTGTCGTGCTCCAGCACGATTGTACAGAGATCCTTCTCTGTACAACTCCTGTCGGTGCACGTTTTGTGTTAATGACCATGCCCCATCGGTGATTTTATATAGGTTTAGGAGATACGTTCTTGCATTATTCCAAAATAGAGTGGGTTTTAAAGCTTATTGCTGTAGATCTGCAGGTTCTGACAATATTTCTCCACTTTTTTTTTTTTTTTTTTTAATCAGTTTGGATGTGAGGAGCGTCATTCCAGTAGAAACTCTAATGCTTTATTGAGGAACCCTGAAATTGCCTCATGTTTTCTTTATTCCTCAAGAAAACATTTTGTATTGCCAATTATATAATCTGTGTGATTATACCATCGAATTGACGTAGTTTGTCCTTATTTCTTTTATCATTCTATGCTCTTTATTTGTTTTATGGAACTGTTTCAAATGCTTTCACATTTAAACTGTGGCATTCTTTGTGCCTGAAAGTAGCATCACCTCCTGCTAGGAATGCATTTTGTTGTTGCTTTAGTTTTGTGTTTCATTATCTGGTGAGACAACAACTTGGAATATAGCCCTCCTGGGTAAGGATAAGGATGAGTAGCACTCGTTTTCCTACCTTAAGCTGTTGTCCACATGGAAGCATTTGTAGAAATGGTTGTACCTGCTGATTCTGTAGAATGCCATCTCATAGCTTCAACTTCTGAGATTTTACCAGGTAAAAACAGTACTTTTCAGTGGAAGGTTTTTCAGTGGCTGTACTGATGCAGACATGCGGAATCTACAGTTGTTTCCAGTATGCCCATGAATGGGCTATAGTACTTTGTGGTATTTCATTACTGAAGGTCTACTATCCCTCTCTTTGTAATCTGTCATGATGCATACATATGTGAAGATGCATTCTGTCTGTCCTGACAGAACTTCCCATCTGTTGGAAATTTCATTTTGTCTTCTTCTGAGTATATGTATATTTATCTCTAGTTATATTAATATGCACAATTCTAAAACTTCCTTAGTGGAGCTTAGCATTAAATCCCGCCTCTGCTGTTTGATGCTGACAACTCTAGGCAGCAAAGCTTGAGGAAGAGGGAGATACGTATTTCTGGGGGATTTTCTCTGTGTTATAGCACACTGGTTAGATAGGATTTAAGATGTGAAAGAAGTGAGAGAGATCTTAAGTAGCTCCCCAGAGGAATGGTGGTGAATCAATAATGTTGTGACCATTTACCATAGTGCCAAGTTATCTTCTCTTCCACCCATGGAAGCCATATAATGGACATGGCTAGGGGCCTTGGATGTGCTTAAGAAAGAATCAGAGTTGCTAGTAGACAGGTTAAGTTTATAGATACATCTTTTTCTATAGGTAAGATACACAAAACAGAAAGAAAGTAGCTCAAGGCATATATTGTCTCACAGATTTAGTCAAGGCATGTATTTTCTTACAGAATTACAGATAATTCCATGCTTTCAGAGGAAGTGATAGTAATTCCTAATTTTACTATTATGCTGCATTGTAACCTTCATGAATTGCATATCTGTCTTTTCTGTCTTTTTTTTTCCCAGCAAGATAAACTTTTCCATAGCTGTATTAATCTAAACCCCTCAGTTGATTTTGTAATACTTTGATAACACACATCATCTTCCCTGCTGAATGTAAATTTTTGTGTGGTTTTCTCAGCTAATTCGATGTTGAGTTCTTGTCTCCTCTGAATGAAGAGGTTTAAACCAAAACAATTTTTAGCCTTCTAAGCCAAGTCTCATAAATCCAACTAGAATTTCTGTATGGGATTGATGAACCGTCTTGCACTCTTTGCTTCTATATGCCTTTAGTCCACAGTGCATAACTGTATTGTCTAACTGACCATGGTCTTGTCTTCTACATGAATGGCTTCATCGTTATCACATTGCACCATTCATCTAACCCAGGAGCCAATGAAGGTATGATAACCTTTTAATACATGCTGTAATATCTTTGATCATGTCCATGTAGCTGTGACATCCTTCATTTAGCTCTTGATTTCAACGCTCAAAACACAACCTCAGGTAGCAGTCCAAGAACTGCCCATTTATTTGTTGATATTTTTGCCTCCTGTGCCAAAAGGAGAAGATTGTGTTGGTGATCTGTCTTATATAGCTCTCTGGAAGTCTTGTGCTATTAAAGACATGCTGAGTTGCAGTATTACCAAAGGTAGGCATAGCTAGCCTTACTTTAGTGGTGTGCATATTTGATGGGAAATCTTGCACTAAATTCACTCACGTACTTGCGATTTTGGTCCCAAAATTGGACCACATTGAGCTGCTCCAGTGACAAGCTGCCCCTAACAGCAAAGGTCTCCTGGTTGTGTGCTCCTTTATTCAGTGCTGTGCTGGCAGCACTCACTTATGTGAGCCATAGGGTCACAAAAATAGGTGAAATAGGTGTCCTCTAATAATTTTATTTTGGCATTTCTCATCTTATGATTAGTAGTCTGTCCTGTTACTCCAGAAGAGTGGGTCAAATTCTGCCATAATAGGTTTAGAAGTGTCTGTAGATGTGGAACCAGAAGGCCACGTGTAGTAGCGAAGACAGGGATAAAATGTACTCTGTGATAGGTGTGCTTTTAAGTCTTGCTGATGATCGGAGACTGAGTAGGGGTGTGCTCATGAAATCATTATGAAACCCTTCTCCAGCCCTTCAAGAACATGAAGGGAAAAGAAGAATGAAGGAAAACTCCTTTTAGCCTTCCAAAAGAAACTATTACTTTGGTTAGATCTCAAAGCCTTAGGATTTGGGTTTGTTTGTTTTTTTTAGTTATAAAATCTAAACTTTAAATGAAACTTGCTCGTGAGTCTAAGCATTTTCTGTTATGGTGCTTAGTCAGTTAACACCAGAGACAGGCTTTAATTAAGCCTGCCAACATCTTCTAAATTCATCGTGTGGACACTGCCCCATTGCTGATTACAGAATCCCGCAGCTTTTGGTGAGTTTCTAAAACAGGGATTTCTTGCCAGCTGTGCTCTTCCGTAGTTCTGCCAGGATTCACCTACACTGGCATCAGCCTGTGAGTACAAAGATACCAAGTGTTAAAGCTTGTTCATACAGGACTAGTAATTCTTTCCTTAAAGCAGAATGGATGCAAAAACTACTTCTCTCCACTTTTTTTTTAAGTCCCTGCCAATGGAATGTAGATAATTAGGAGTACTTCTTCTGGCTTCCTTTTGTGCAGTGGGATTTGCAACAGTGCCATCTTCTTCCTCATTCTTCAGTGTGAGGCCAAGTCATGTTCAGTGGGGTCAGTACTCCTGGTTGAGTGTCTGAGCTTCCTGCAGCTGCAGATTGAATCCAGCCTGCCAAGTTTAATTCTTAAAAATGATGTAAATTGAATTCCATGCATGAGTTATTTTGCACGAAAGCAAAAAAGAACACTTTAAAGGAAGTTCCACCCTGTTCTTAGGGCATGACCCCGTGGATTTATTTAGCTTGAGGCAGTTTGGGGGGTTTTTGGTGTGGGCTTTGTAAGGCTGTACAATGTTGCTGTGTGTCTGTGCACACAGACTTTCCCCGAGTGCCCTGTACTATGTGCAGGATAGGAATCCTTGGGCTTTGGACCTTCTCTGGAGAACAGCAGCATCCGTGAAAGATAACAAAGAGTAGATGGAATAAGCAAGGCCTCTACTGTATGATTCCTTAAAGGGTTAATGATGTGCTTTGCTCTTTCCAGGTACTTTACTACCCAGATTGCCATCTGAACCCGGGATGACGTTACTCACCATCAACATAGAGAAAATTGGTCTGAAAGATGCTGGGCAGTGCATTGATCCTTACATCACAGTCAGTGTAAAGGGTAATGATTTCTGTTCCTGGTATGGAAAAAGTATGTTTTCTGAAAACTGTATAAATTTTTAAACCTAAAGGAAAAGTATTTGTTGCATCTTTCTCATGCTTGTATCTTCCGTTGTGGACTTACAGCTTTTATTTTAATCAAGGATAGGAAAATTCTGTATTTGAGAGATGAAGAAGGTGAATCTCCTCCCTGCTCACTGCAGGTGTAGGACTTGTCTTTGTCCCCTGGGATGTGTTCCCCAAGCTGGGGGCTGACTATCAGTGACTGGGCAGACTGTACTTCTCAGTCCCATATTCTTCAGTTAGCTGTGGAGAGCAGGTCCTTTTGGACCGCTGGTAATCCCCAGTACGTACTGGTTTCTGGGCTTTCTTGAGACAGCAAACCACCCACCATTGGCTCTGTTACAAAGGAGGAAGCGAAGCTTGCAAGTAAAATAAAGCGCAGCACAGTTCAGCCTTGGCAATGAAGGAGGGCCAACACTCAAAGGCTGGTGGGCCAACAGCTTCCCCTCCAATAGCTGCCATGAGTCTAGAAAAAACCTCTCGCTCGGCCCAAGGTGTGCAGCATCAGAATTACTCTCTGTCTCCAATGGCAGCAAAGTTGATGGCTTTTCCTGAGATTTTTGGTATTCTGAGCCTTTCCACTGGATCTGCCTCTCCCTCCTTGCCCCTATTATAGCAGGAAGCTGCTGTAGGCAGGATTGTGTACACTTAAGCTGCTCTGCTTGACTCATACTTATCTTCACTATCTTTTGAGGTACATCACTTTTTGATTTACCAGATTAAAAAAAATGTGACTGAGCCCACATCCTTTAATTATGTTTAGTTTTGATTGTGACCTTGTGTATATTCCCTCTAGACGTGCTATTAGCTGAAGGGATAAAATGTTTGTTAGATGTGTAATGAGACTGCTTTCTCCACCAGACAAGTTCTTTGGCAGAGGTGAGGATCACAGTATCTCGTGTCACTTGAATTCCAGTGATGCCTCAAATATTACCTCACAGATACGTAGGCAGAAAGTTTTATCTAGTCCTGCTTCCTGTGATTGTTTTTCAACAGTGAAACCTTCTGCTTCACTCTGAAGCTTTGAGTTTTCACCTGGTTAGGGCAGAAGGCCGAGGCATGAGTCTCGCCCTCCCCAGCTGATCCATTTGCCCTTCTTATTTTCAGTCTGGGGAAAATACAGTATTTATCATGTTCCTGGTTTGCAGCATGATTTTTAGATTATGTAGGTGTTCTTCAGGCTCCCATTTCTCTAGTCACTTTTGGATCTCTCTTTCCTGTTAAGTTTCTTCTGGCAAACAGGGAAATACCAGTGCTAATGGGGCTCTAACACTGAGTCCTGGGACTTTTGGTGCTCCTTTCCTGTGAATTGTTTGCCTTTCCTAGCGATTATGTATTGTCTAGACTGTTGCTTGTCTTCAGAGCAAGCTTCCAGTCACTTTTGGGAACTAAAGGAGCCGGTGCTAGGCCTGCCTTCCCCAAAAGTGTGTGCCAGCAGGTAGTGCCCAAGCTGCAGGCTTACGTAGGCAGTGAATAATAATGACTCGGAAAAGGCTTTGTGGCTGTCCTGAAAGAAGCCCCAAGGTGCTTAGTAGTCACTGTCCCAGCCATCCTATAGCAGGTTCGTTTTCCTGTCCTGGTGGCTTGGAGTGAGGCACTGTGCAGATGCAGCAGATTGCAGAGGGAATGGAGTCCCTTGCTGGCAGCAGCAAGAAATGTCCCCCTGAAAGAAAAAGAGGAATAGTTCCAAATTTTCATCTTAAACGTTGTCAGAACTTCTTCTGCTTCCTCTACTTTTGGCTACAGGTCAAAAGACAAGATTCGACTGCACACTATGATTGTCCCATTATAACCTAGGGAAAAATGCAGATGGATCTTAATTTTCTGCAGATGTTTTAGAAGTTATTCTTAAATCTCATAAAGAAAGCAAGACTTTAAACTCTAAGAAGCTTTTGCCATTCTCATGGTATTTCTTGCCTACAGATTTGAATGGGATAGATCTGACACCTGTGCAAGATACTCCTGTGGCTCTGAGGAAAGAGGACACGTATGTCCATTTTAATGTGGACATTGAGATCCAGAAACACGTTGAGAAACTAACAAAAGGTATGTGGGGTCAGATACTGAAATGGAGCCTGGGAACTTGCCGAGCAGAGACACTAGGCACTGCTCCTAGTCTAATGAACAGGCCAAGCTTGAGCTGCTGTTGTAGGGCTCAAAATACAGATGTGGATAAAAACAGACCTTTATGTCCTTTGTCAAATCAGCCCTTGGAATGACTTGCAGCCAGAAGAGGAATGAAAATAGATAAAAATGCAGTAGTCTGCTCTGTTACACATTCAGCTGCTTTAAGACCTTAAAGCATTGGGCAAAATGTTACCTATATGTGAGTAACTGAGTTGGAAGCGCAAGCCCATGTGGCTGTACAAGAACATGGTGTCTCTTTTGAGTAAATTAGGAAATTGCTGGAGTAAATTGGAGTTTAAGGAAATTAGGAAATTGTTCTTCCATTTGTACACAGAGCACGTTAATGGCAGATAAGTTTTCTGATAATTGTTGCCCATAATTGCTAACTTTCTAATAAATTACTTACACTCCAGGTGCAGCTATTTTCTTTGAATTCAAACACTACAAGCCTAAGAAGAGGTTTACTAGCACCAAGTGCTTTGCTTTCATGGAGATGGATGAAATTAAACCTGGGGCAATTGTTATAGAACTGTAAGTGACTTGCGGTCAGAGGCCTCCGTGGCCAGAGCTACGGAGGAAACGGACTAGACTTCAATGGCAAAGTGTTGTTGGTTGCATCGAGGAAGGTTTCTATGGACTCCTTAGAATGACTTCCATAAGGAGTATTCTGCTTCTGATAGGAATGGAAGATGATAAACTTTTAGAGAAATGAAATGGCTTCCTTGACCTTTCTGAAAAATGATTTTTTTCATTTTCAAATGAAAAGCTGCTGTCACTGAATGAAGTTATCAAATTCTGTGTCGGAGTATTTCATTTCGACCTAAGTTTGACCAACAGATCAACTATATAAAAAAATACTGAACTCTCGTGAATTTTTAGTACAGAACTTCTTTAAGGGAAATGTGATTTGAGATGTTCAATATTGATTTAAAATTGAGGTTTTATGAACATTTCAAAGCATTTTTTTTGCCCTAAGCAGGCAAGGAGAGCTCAGCCTGTTGTGCTGCCGTGTTCACGCTCTGCATCCTGTCCTTGCTGCGTGGTGAGGGTGTGTGTGGAGAGGGCTGTGGAGGAGCTCTGGTTTTGAGGAGGAAGGGGAACTTGCAATTTAAAGCAGCTTGAAGAAGTGTTTAATAAATGTCTCCAGTGGCTGCAGTACTTCTGACATACTGAATTACCTGCTGCTGCATTTCCCAGAATCCACACTATTATATTGGAAATTTTCCTTACATTTAACATTTAAACATTGAAATATATATTTTGCTAAAGTAATAGTCCCAAGAAAATACTATTCAGAGTTTCTTCATGTAAATTTATTAATTATTGTTCACTTTGGTAAATCCTAATGGATGTATTTGAAAGATTATGGCAATAGGATCTGGACAGGACACATGTTGTTATAGCATGCTTTCCTTCTCCTCTAATAATCTTTAGTATTAACTTACTTTCTTGTGGTTACAGGTACAAAAAGCCCACTGACTTTAAGAGGAAGAAATTGCAACTGTTGACCAAGAAACCACTTTACCTTCACCTCCATCAAACACTGCACAAGGAATGACCCTGTTTGTGAGACTCCTGTGAACCAAACCGCAAGGCATGGTAGCTGTGTGTAGTAGCCGTAGCCTCCGAGGGGCAGGGAGCCGACTGCGTTCGTGGCAGTGGGGCCCACGGGACCACCACACACTGCACAGCACCACGGCAGCGTCGGGGCAAGCCCACCACCCAAGTGCACGTTTTGTTTCCAGAACCTTCCCAATGCAGGTTTTTTTTCTTAGAGCCCTGAAAAAATGTTGACTGTTTTTCCTAATTTTGCTGTTCAGAGATTTTTTTTTGACCTTAGCCATTACTCTCCTTTGCCTCAACCTCCACTGAAGGTTGGGGCCTGCCCCTTTGCCAGACCTGTAGCAATGAAGATGCGTCAGGCCTGCTCACCTGGTCGTCGCCTTGCTGGGCCCTTGTAGTTCCTCTCATCTGCACGTCAGCGTCCTCTGGGAAGGGCTGGCTGCCAGGAAAGGAGGGAGAGGCTGAGCGGGGCTGGGAAGGAGCTCGGGGTGTTGCGAGGGATGTGAGAGGAGGGCGAGGAGGATGCAGGGTCACGGCTGGGAGACGAGCTGAGCCCGTCTGGCCGCTGCTCTTCCTTGGGCAGGCGAGGAGGAGGAGATGACTGCAGATGAGAAGACTGAACTGTGACCTTAACAGCCAAATCCTAGTTCTTAGGCTTGCCCAATCTGCTCCTAAGAAGTGTCAGAAAAAGTACCTATTACAAACCTTTAAATCCCAGTTACTCCCAGGTAGAGTTGTTTGGGTTTGTTTTTTGTTCTATTTTTCTTTTTTTTTTTCCCCCCCCTAAAGCTTCTCACAGAACAAGCTGCAAAGATGGGTGGAGGAAGCAGAGAGGCTTCCTTTAGAGTCCTGTGCTCATCTTCATGGGGAATTTTACCCTTCTGCTGATAGCAGGAGCAGCCCCTTAGTTCACCAGTGTCAATTTTCCAGAGCTTTTAACAACGTAGATCTGGCTAGCAGGTTGACTCATATTTTACATGAAACTGCTGTTTTTAATGGAAACTGATTGTATGCAGTTTTCTGCATATTTTGTGCAAGTCTGGAAACTTACTCCAAAATTACCTTTTTATGTAAGTAGATAGAATTATCCTTTATTTTCTATATTATTGATTCAGTGTGTAATAAGCTGCAGGACATTGGCTTATTATAACACAATTTCACTCACTTTTTGACCTAATAAAGGGACAGAAGTAGAACCCAGTCAAATCTTTCATATATTTGAGTGGATATTTAATACAGTACTTTAAGGTTTGATATACTTCTTGCATATCTAACTAGTGCCTAAATATTCTGCTATGCTAACAAAATTCACAGCACCCAAAACAGTGTCAAGTGTTAGGGTGTTTTTAAACAGTCTGGATGAAGATGCATTACTAATTCCTCTTCTCTGCTACGTAACATCAGGATGTTGCAGAATGCTTTAAGAGAAAGGATGTTACTTCTTGTGCCACGTCTGT